CCGATTTCCGGTAATAAATTCCCCTTTCTGTTTTCTTGCGTTTTGAGAAGGCTTTTTGGTTGTTTTTCTGCCGGATGATCTGACCCGGCTGGCCTGCATGCGCCAGGTACACTCTGACCGGGCTGTGTTGAATGTCTAGAGCAGGCCCTGCGACGTCACTCCAATGCAGTCAGGCTCCATTGTCGTATTCGTATTCGTATCCGTATTCTCAAAAATTGACTTTGAATGATCGAAAAGTCGTAAATCAAGGGCTTCTGTATGACCTGGCGCGTGTGCGTTGTCACCTCTGGCGTGGATATTATTGTTGGTCACGCTGAAACGTACCCGTCCTGCCGAGGATCGAGCCGCATTTTCCCACTTTTGTCCACTCTCGGCGAAATGGGCTGTCTGTGATTCAGTGCAGTGTGAATAAGTCAGTCTGTGAACTGGGTTTTCGTTGAATTGGGTGTAGGTGAATAGTGCATTCTGTGAGACTGGCACTCTGTGAAGTGTCATTCTGTGAGTTGGGAATCTGTGAAACGTCACACGGTGAAAGCGGATTCTGTGAACTGTCGCATAACCATTATACCGGTATCGGCATCGCAAGAGGATCGCCCTGCGTCGTGCCTTGACATGATGACCTGGCCACCCACAAACAGACGAGAGGGCGAGCGGTACGTGTTCAGCACAGCGGAGGCAAACTCTTGTGAGTCTGGGCAGAGATGCCTGATGCTGCGGATGTACGCTGACCTGTTGAGCATCGGCAAACAGTATGCCTTCCACGTCGTCGTCGTTGGTGAATGCCTCCCGCATGGCGTGGATGGCTGCTTCCAATCCAGATTCCTGGCCTCCACAAAGCTGTAAGCAGCCAACAGCTTGCTCAATGACAATGGCCGGTCCGACGACTTTCAGGATCACTCTGGATGGCTTTGCCAATGATGCGTCTGACCACCTCACCAATCCGGGATATCCGGACGCACACCAGGTTGCTTGTCGAGAGGGATCAAGCGGCTGGCAACATAGAGCTACGCATCCAGGCCCTCACTCAGGATCCACGTACGAAGATGCAGTACGGCGTGCACACAACTAGGGCTCAAACGGTCACGGTTTTACCCCCAACGGTTAGCTGCTAAGCTAACGGTCGGTTTAATTTACCCCCAACGGTTAGCTGCTAAGCTAACGGTCGGTTTAACGGTTATAACCTATAAGCCACGGCAATCCTGCGGACTCTTTTTTAACCGTATATTTGGCTATACTTATTCAAAAAATGTACCCTATTCAGTACAACGCACACATGTATATTCCCTTGCATGCTCATTCATACATACTCTCACACGAAGAGACCAGATATGACCGAGTTGACAGCCCAGAATTTGCGTACGCGTGCGACAGCCTGCGAAAGTGCATACTTAGTCTTTGCAACGACCTGATACTTGAAAAATCGACTGAAAAGTTACTGCGTAAGCCGTTATCTTTATCGGTCAACCGTTAATTCTTCGTAACCGGTCTGCAACCGGTTAATCGGACTATTAAACCGTTTGAGCCCTACACACAACTATTACATTGTACGAGGTGATTTGGCTTTTTTTTAACATTTGGCATTTTTTAACAAATGTGTAAAATTTGCTTTTCTTCTGGCTGTTTCTCTGCTCCGGATGGCTGTATCGAAACATGGTTGGTGGCAAATGAAAGCCAGTTTATCGTAGATAGCCCTTTCCCAAAGATGCCAAAATATTTCGCAACTTATGCTTTTCGCAACCATGCCAAAACAAGTGAAAGTTGCTGAAATCGCATCCATATTTTCAGAAAATGCTCTAAAGTTGCTGATATCGCAACTCAAAATGAGCGAGTTCTTGTGCATATATATGCCAAATTATAATATCATAATACTTCATAGCATCATTGCTCAGTGCTGCCACATTATCCATGTACTTGTACATGGATAAACCTTGTTTTGTTGAAAACATGGTGTTGGTTGACAGCATGGTACAAGACGGAGGAACACTGTGTTCGGAAACAAACTCAGTGGCCTTATCACAACCATCCACGGTTGGCAGAGACGGTTCAAATGGTCGCAAGACCGGGACGTGTCATGATGATTAGATGCAATGTTTCAGCGCTTCTTGTTGAAGGGGAGCATCAGGGACACTTCGTCTCCTCCAAGGCGCTTCTCTGCTCACGGTTGCGGAAAAGTTGCGAAGTACAGTAGTTCGTGAAAATGAAGAAAGTTGCGATTACTTCCAAAACAACCAAAAGTTGCGAAAAAAGTGGCGAGCATCTTTGGGAAAGGGCTAATCGTAGATCAACATTGACCAGAAAATTTGGTGCATATAATTTAATTCTCCCTGCCACGTCGGTATAACTAGTGGTGGGTGCTTTGCCATTTTGTGTAAAATGTGTAAAATGAGCCCCTGAATGGACGAGGAGGGCAGTGAATTGCTTCCGCAGGGCCTTTGGACGACGTCAGGCCGTCTTGCCATCACTAAAGACAGTAATGAAGAACAGTAGGTCACGGAATACACTCTGTGAGCACGAAAACATCGCTGCGATGCTATGCTACCTATCCCGCAATTCCACTGTATAACACAGCCACTAGTTACAAATACAAAAACACGGCTTTCGCAGCATACAATGCAGTTCACTCCTCTGTTGACAGATTAATTTTCATCCACTAGCAATCCTTGAAGTGATATCTATCAACTTCAGAACATTGATGACCGAATATCCCAGTTTGTGATGCCATTTTACAAATTTGTTAAAAAATGACACACCAATTATTAATTTTGAATCCTGAGAATACTATGAAAGTAGGACATGATTCAAGACACTTTCCAAAGTGGGATCATTCCCATTTTTGGACACACCGGGCATGAAGGATAGCACTTCCACTTGCAACAATTCATTTGGACGTAGCTTGTCTAGAAGTGACTGAAAAACGTCATTTTACAACCATGTTAAAAAAGCCAAATCACCTCGTACTTACACACAAGGCGAGTGCATCGCACAGGTAACAATCATGATGGTAACGTAACTCGTCGTTGTCGGATGCTGCGTGGAACACTGTCTGTGCACGTCCGGCCCAACAAGTACGGTCCAAGTACAGTAGGTATCGGTTATAGCGTGGGTGTTTGAAAAACGACTGTCTACTAGTACTAGTATTCTTATTTCCGATATTTCTTTATACTTCGAAGTACACACGATAAATCAAGTGTGGCATATCACATGCATGTGCGCAGGGCCTAGGGGCAGGAAGATCATCGTACATGCAACGCAGTACTTCTGTGCTGCAGTGTGCATGTGGCTAGGCCGGCTGGTCATCATGGTCATAGTCCCATAGGCTTACCATGTGGCTATGCAAAATGAGTTACATGGCCACAACAGTTGAATCTGCAGCACTACGACGCAACGAGAGTCACATCAGAACGGACAGATGTTATTACTACAGGCGATACACTTTGTACTAATCATTATCTGGCATGTTTCGCTACACGAAGTCCATTCTTAGGACCGATATATTCTACTATGGGATAAAATTGCTTGTAAGAATAAATGTGCACTTGAAATCCATGTTATGATTATGAAAACTCTGGCCTTGCCTTCTGCCCACACTAAAGCTGGTTTTTCTCGTCTTGGCTACATAGGTTCTGATCGGTGGAATATGCTGCCTTCCACTGTTCGCTCTTGTACAGATTATCGCCCATTTGTTCGTTCATGCTTAATGACCGGTGGTACAGGTTGCGCGAGAGTTTGTATGCAGCTCGTAAGGAATCGTTGAGTGGCTCCTTTCGGTGGAGCACATAGAGGCTGTTAGTTCGCTGACGTTGCGTCTTAAGTTTTTTTGTGAACCATGGTTGGTTCGACTGGGTGTTTTTCCGGCGTGTGATGGTCGTTGCTGCCTGAATTGCCTGGTCCAGCAGTGCAGAGTAGGCCATGCATCTGAAACTGATGTGCACGTTGGTGCCCTGCATGCATTCGGTCAATGGTAGTGTGCTCAGTTTCTGCCTGAGGAGGTGCATGTCAACCTTTCTGGAGACTGCGGCTGCGTTGACAGTACTTCTAGAGTGGCGTTTCTCTGGTGGAGAATATGCGCAAAATAGAGGACAGTGGTCTGCAATGGGCATGGATGTGTAACATGAAGTGACAAGATGGGGCATATTAGTTAAAATCAGGTCTAGGGACGGATTAGAATCTTTAGTTGGCCTCGTTCCATGGTTCTTGGAGACCATAGTGAAGCCATAGTCGTCAAAGGCGGACTGCATGTGTCTACCTGCAGTGTTCGTAGGGTCTGCGTTGTTCCACTCATCGTTCTTGGAGTTAAAGTCTCCCACGACAATTACTGGACGGTTGTCAACGAGGGGGTGAAGAGGACTGAATGAGTTGCAGAATGCAAGACTATCGTGTCTTGGAGGACGGTACATACAGGAAATGATTGTAGCTCCTGTTTCGACAGTTATCATCTCTGAATTGTTGCACTCTAGATCCCGGCGGCGCATAGCACAAAGGGCGGACGAAGAGAAGACTGCTACCCCACCACCACCCAAGTCGCTCCATGTAGTGCTGCACTGGGACCGGTCACGACGGAACAGGTCGTAACCCGGTATCTTAATGATCTCGTCTGGGATACACGAATTTAGCCACGTTTCCGTTAGATCTACCCCGAAGCCCACCTTTGCCGCTTTGGCTTTGGCTATGGACCAGCGTTCCCAGCTGCATCCACAGGTAGGAACCTCGTGCTACTGGTGCGTTCGGGTCCCGTCAATCGCGATTTAGGTGGATCAGTTCACATTTGGGAGGACAATGCGCCAGTTCTAATTTCTTACTTTTACGACGGGGCTGCACCAGTAGAGGTTTTTCAGAACCGCTCACAGAGCGGTTTTTATATGGGTAATTATACTAGTAGACGACGAGACAAGAGACCAAGACGAACGAGACGACTACATTGAAGAGTGAGAAAAGAGAGAAAGAGATCAAGTCTAAACGGCAAGATAAAGGGCCTGGGTAGCTATGGCAAATATGCAGTCCGTGCGCCAAGCCTTGATTTGCCCGATTTTTATTTTATTTGCGGGAAAGGGTGATACAGGTTTTATGCAGGGAAAGATGACGACGCTCATGGCAGTTGAGGGAGAATTTTGCCTAATTTTTGGCAATTGATTTTGCTTCTCCTATCATATCACTGGGTTCCTAAGTCACCAATGTAGTGGGAAATGATGAGTTCTATCCTTTGCTGTGATGACGAGTGGGAATTTGAGGTCGTAACCTCAATGTACCTCTTTTATTAGGAAGAAACTACATGTATATTCCCTATTTTTCTAATTTCGTCGACTCGAGTCGAGAAGTAGACGAATTGCAGCTGCCAGAAGCCGCGGACACGAGGCAGTCATTAGAAACCTCAGTAAGTACATAATTGTGTGCCCTGTGATAGAAATAGTCTGAGCATACAAGCACGGCTAAGCCGATGGCACTAATTGAAAGACTTTGTATATCATTTCGATAATTTTTATACATATTGTTGTCATGTGGAAAACGAGTATACCAGCAGCCATTAAAAGTATACAAAGTGATAAAACGTATTCAGTTCTGGTGTCTGAACTATTGTAGTGCATTTGTGAACTGTTCTGAAATACCTCAGCTCTCAGAAACCATCAAAACGCTCTTGGAAAAAAGATACAATATGTAGTTACGTGTGTGTGTGGGTTTAAAATTGTACATACATACATGTACATGTACGTGCATTTCTGTCCACTAACATGCTTGCGGTTGAACAAGTCGTGCAGCTCCTTCAGGTCAACACCGAGAAATGAGGCCGGACCTTTGGCATTGGAAATAATAACTCACCCCAAAATGGACATGCATGAAACAGCAAAGCCATTAGTTAAAATTTCAAAACCTCAGCAAGCACAGAGATGTCAACGGTGTGAAATTGAACACTTCCAGACAGTTACACACAACATACAAGGTATGCTTGCAGACCAGTTGCAGATTTGAGACTATTTGCAATCTGCGTGAACATGCATAACACAATTATGACATTATACACGCATCCAAATATGCATACCGGTACATGTACTTGCATACATACTTACACGTAGCTCAATTGCTGGAGGTGGTGGCGCTTGGTATGTTCTGGCAGTTGTGACACTTGCAACCTGGGCCACACAACCCATTTGCCTTCACCAGCCTGTGCCCTAACCATCATGTGTACCTGCTCCGCCATTGCCGAAACTCCATTTTCTGATTCTGTCCTGTTGTTTACTACAGGTATGTCCGTGGCAAGCTAGTCGTGTGACATTGAAGCGCATCGCTGGGCGGAAAGAGCATCATGCAAGGGCCTGTTGCGTGTTGCACCCTCTCCGTAGCAACAGGATACCACGTTTTTTCACATTCGGGTATACAACTTCAATGTGCTCTGCCAACACTTCCATTATCTGGCTGAGAAGCCATTTTGCTGGTTTGTGTGAGCCTGTGGCAGCGTGGTGCATGAAGTGCAGTGTGACCAACAAAACTGCACTCTTTGAGAGCAGTTGCTCTCCAGCAAGCACGAGTGTTGCTGCTAGAGCCGTGTGTATGCCCCGCTGTGCTATAACAATGGCATTCAATTGGTAATCTGTGCTTGCGTAGCCGTCTACTGTAACCAAGGCCAGGTGTGCATTGTAGCACTTGGTACAGTAGACGGCGTCCTCTGAAACAGTGATGCCCTCATCCTTCAGCTTTGCTGCCACAACCTGGTAATTTGCAGCCTTCCGCAATGGCTCTAGCTCCATTGGCGCATGGCAATCGCCACAGTGGTGCTTACGGCTGCTGGTCAGCTGGCTATAGTGCTTGGAGCACACCACTGCATCCTTCATGTCCTGCCCATCCTGCAACGGCAGCGAGTCAGTTTGTGTGGGTGGATAGCGTGTAATTGCATCGGCATCGCAATCTGCCACGGAACATTGCCGGTGCCGGACGGGTGGTGTGTCCACACTGCTGCTGCTGCTGCCGCTGTTGGTGCTGCTGTTGGTGGTGGTGGTGCTGCTGCTGCTGCTGCTGCGTGTAAGGGATTTCTTGCAAGGCCAGCAAATACATGCATGGCCGTGCAAGTCCTGTGCATGCGGGTACCTGTCAGTTGCCCATGGTGCAGTGATTAATTGTTGCCAGTTGCTGATTGACGTGTTGTGGGTGTACTTCCCGTCAAGTGCATTCACTCCACATATGCCACAGGGACCACATGAACGCTCGGGGTGGAGGTCTGCAGCATGGCTGCGCCTACCAGGCATGGTGTTTCAAGTCTAAAAACATGTAGAAAATAAAGAAAAAATAGGGTATATGAAATTGGCTGTCCTGAAAGTATGGTAGCCCGGACACGAACGAACTCCGGGATGTGAGGAGAGGAAGACTTACTGCGCCCCAGACTGGGAAGTATGTCACGGTGAAGCCGCGGCTAAGGTCATGGCACTAAATGAAACTTTTGAAAACAAGAATCTCGTCGAAATGGCAGTCTGGATAAGAAGGCGAAAAAAGGATCTTCATAAGCACTGGGCAAACTTTGAACGGCAATTTAGGGAAGAAATATACCTAATAAGGATAAATTTCGGCAAAGGCTGATGCGATACGAAGGAATAGCTCAGTAAAACAGAAAGTTCACGGGCTGTCAATGGACGTCAAGGTATGCCTTTCACACGATCTTCTCTCTCAACACTCAAATTTCGCGCCGCGCGGAAAATAAAAGTCACGGAAAAAGAAGGTTTTTTTGAATCTGGCGATCGGACTGTATGGGCGCGCAAGTAGCTACCCAGGCCAACGGAGCAAAAGGAGACAAAAGGTGCGTACGCAAGTGCATGCAGGCCAGCTAGAAAAGGTACGGGAGGAGGTACCTAACATGTTAAAGGGGAAGTATACCCTGAAATCAAATTTTCACCAGTTGTAGTCTTCGGGGTGCTGAGTCGAATGGTCTTGGTCCGAGGAAGCTGAGGCGCTCCCTTCCTACTTGAATCCCAATCGAACTCGCGCACTTCCACCGAAACTGGGTGACTGCGCCCTACTAGATGGGGATTTGTATGCAAAATGTCACTAAAAGCGCCATTTCGTTCTTATAAAAGCACGGATGACCGCGATTGGCCCATATGTTGTAGTCTTTTGGACGCTGAGTCGACTGGTTTTGGTCAGGGAGCCCTACACATACCGGTATGTGTAGGGCTCCCTGGTTTTGGTCCGAAAAGGCTGCGATGCAGCGTTCCTCCTTTATTCCCAATCGAACATGGTTGAACAAGCGGTCACGTGCTCCTGCGTACACCAGTCACCTGGTCACCGTGTCTGCAGGGTACAACTTAATATTATAGCAATAAAAACTGCTTTATGGCAGTTTTCTAAAAAAAGTTATTGTGTTCTAGTCCATGGACCCCATCTAAAAAGTAAGAAATTAACAAAACGTGATAGCCGAAAGTTAAAATTTCAAACAAAACCTCACAATAATCACAACACTTGAAATGCTGCTTTCAACACTAAACTTGTACTGTACCAACAATTGGCAACATGCATGTCATGCATGCATAGGAAAGAGGATCACGAGGGGAAAAGGTCTTCTACATGTAGCTTTTCATTCTGTGTGTGTGATTATTGTGAGGTTTTGTGTGAAATTTTAACTTTCGGCTATCACATTTTGTTAATTTCTTACTTTTTAGATGGGGTCCATGGACTAGAACACAATAACTTTTTTTAGAAAACTGCCATAAAGCAGTTTTTATTGCTATAATTTCTTTCTTTTTTTTCTGTCACCAATCAATGGAATGTCCTTTATCAATAAGTAAATGATGGCCTTCACATCATATCAATACCGTATTATACGCATTGATGTGCAAGCCTTTTCTTGCAGAAAATGGCACTAGCATGTTCTTCTGCGGGGAAACATGTGAGTAGTGGTGGACCGTGGTGATCCTTTTTTATTTTATACGGAGGTCATTCTGTGCATGTTGCTGTAGCAGAACTTCATGACTCTAATTGTCTTGCCTTTCAGATTTCCCCACCCTCGATCAGATATATTTGAGAATGTAAATGTAACCAGGTGCGTGTCACAGATGTTTTTGTTGATTCTGTGTTTATAATGGTTTATAATCATGGGTTATCGTGATAAGGTCATCCTGCATCATATTGCACTGAAATGGTAATCCTGTTGATGTCGATACAACTTTTGGAAGTAGTTCAATGACTGTTAGTCCACGATTTTCTAAAACAACACAGCAAAGGAGGAACAATAAACATGTATTAAAATGTAAACAAATACATTGCTGAGTCCGACACCTCGTTCCAACAACTACACTGATCCTGAGGATAAATGGGGCAAGGTTGGAGGTACTGAGAGATAAACAAGGCACTCCATAATAATAAAATCTTACACATCTTTTGGTGAGTATGAATGATATTCAGTCGAACCTCTTTAGGACGAACACCAAGGGACCGATGGTATTTATTCTGTGAGTTTGTCTTAACCTATTTTATAACCAGTGAATACAAATATTTCTCCAATAGACATACGAATAGATTTCTTCTACAGCGAAAGATTCTAAGCCACACCAACTCATTGACTCGTCTCGTATGAAAGAAATGAGTCACTAGAGCTATAGAGAGGTTCTGTAAAACGAAAATGCGTACAAACTTTCGTTCTACGTCATGAAGTGCGAAACTTCGCACGAACTTTCGCAACTTTGGACGCGAAACTAGCAGGGAACGCGAAATGAACTGTCGTACACACTTTCGTGAGATCGGGTCATGGCGTACGTGCGCTTGGCCCGCGCAAACTACGAAAATGTCCAGAACGCAAAGCTCTTGCAAAAATTCGTACACACTTTCGCAAGGACTGTCGCGAAACTTCGTTCGAATTTTCGTTTTGCAGAACCTCTCTACTGAACCTTTCTTTAGCAACATGACGGCAACTGAAACAGCAACAGAGAATGTACGATACATGTACAGCACATTCTTGCAGGTACTACAAAACAGATTGCAGATCGTAATTCTTGCTTTGGCGGCACGAAACTTTATTTGGGGCACTGCAATCTCGGCGGTACTCACAAATAATAAATCAAACAGCCCAGACTAGACTCACTAGAGTAAACAAATCCAATCATACAAGTGCGAGATCTTCACGAGACTGCACCCATTGGCTTGTTTCGTATGAAGCAAACAAGTTTACTGAACCTCTCCACAATGATTTTCCCGGATATGCGAATTTATTTTGCAAACTCGGTCAATGGATCCTTGAACCTTTCCCTCCAGATTCGGAACTGCCAACGATAGTATGCCACTGACCAGTGCCTTACTTTTAACGTACCATTGTACAATGAATATGAGTATTTCGACAACACACCTAACATAAGCCTTACCGTCAAGAAGGTGAACTCGCGTTCTTCGCACACTGTAGACAAGGGCAAAGAGATAAAAATGGATCTAAATCCGAATAAAATCAGCACACGTTTTCGTAAATGAAAGGGTGAGCATAAGCAAATGAATCGAAGGAAACCGGTCAACTCAGAGATCATCTGTCATCGAGTATTCCGTAAAAGGAGGCCTCGGCAGCGGAAAAGCTAAATTTAGAAAAGAGATCCTGTCAGCTTTTCCATTATTTATTGCATTCCGCCCAAAATCAGCACACTTTTCGTAAATGAAAGAGTCAACACAAGCAAATGAATCAAAGGGAACTGGTCAACTTACCTGTCATTGAGTAATATTCCGCGAAAGGTCTCAGTAGCGCCGAAACGAAATAAGCCAGGCCAGGAGACGAAATATCCGAAACAGCTCATACAAGAAGCAGTTCCAAAGGAGAAAGTTCCTCGCGCATGCACATCCAAACACGGACATGCGCTGCAACACAATGTCTGCCGTGCACGTGCACAGCACGTGGCTACCACCCGTTGGTAGATCTAATACCGAGCACCTTACGTAGAGACTTACATTGTACGTAGCCTAAGTGAAATACCGAGCACCTTACGTACATGTAGAAACTTACGTAGCATAGCGGTGTCGTTTTTCTTGCCATGTGAACACAATAATAGAAAAGCTGACAGGATCGCTTTTCTAAAGCCGACGAGCTGGAGCTGAGAAGACAGCTCGCAAACCACTGTCCAGCCTGACACCAGATCGTCAAGCCCAGTGCGCCGGAGTGTCAGAAGGTCCTGGCGATAGTGATGCTGTAAGGCAGATCAAGGGCCTCTTTGAGACGTTTCAAGGGCAATTTCGATCAGAATTCAAGAACATCATCGAAGAGACCCTGGGACCACGACTGGACAGCCTTGAAAAGAGGCTTGACGAGCAGCGCCAAGACATCAACCGCTTGTCAGCGGAGAACCGTAGGCTGAAGGCAGCAGTAGAGAAATGTAATGACGATGTTGGCAAGGCGGACAATGGCGCCAAGTCCGCCATTGTCGAGATGAAGAAAACATTTGCCGACATCACTGCCAGACATCCTGCCGCCAGTCCAAATTCTGCTGCAAGCTCCAAATACGGACTGTCTGAGGACACACTGCGTGACCTTGTTGCGGAGGCCAGTGAGCAGCAGAACAGAGTAAACAATGTCATCCTTCGCGGCGTACAGGAGCTCCCATCGGAGAACCTGTCTGCCATAATCGGCACCCTCGCCCCACAACTCGCTCCAGAGGACATCAAATCTGCAGCCCGGCTTGGCCCCAGCCATTCATCACGGCCACAGGATGAAACATCTAGCTCACGTGCTGGGGCAAAACCAGCGCCTCGTCTCGTGCGAGTGGTGTTGTCCCCACAGGGGAAGAATTTACTTCTACGCAACAAAACGT